GTCGCTTTTTACAGATCCAGACTAACACGGCTACCCCTCTGATACTTGAATATTATGTGTTTCAAATTAGGAAAAGCACCTACAGCCTGTGATATGTTTCGGGGGAGAGGGGAGAAATATAATTGGAAAGTTTATTTATAGAACTGGTTGAAAAAATTTTGACTAAACAATTTTCTGTCAAAAAATACAAGTTAGTCTAACTGAAATATTTCTTGGAAACATATTGATTTGACAAACTTTTTTGTCAAAAAGGTTTCTCAGGTCCGGGATGGAATTACTGGTTAAAATGAGAAAAAGAGAGCCTCTAAAATATCCGGTAACCCAGTGATTAAGACACTCTAGGATGTGGATGATCCCGATTCAAATACCTGCCCCTACTTGGGCACATCAGGGACTTCAACCTACATCTCCCACATCCTAGGTGGCTGTCCTAACTTTCTGTGGGGGCTTTTTCTCTTTCTTGCTTTGTTTTCATCTCAAAAATTTAAAAAGTCTTGGTTTCATTCTGCGCCAAAATGAAAACAAATTTTGAAACCTTGAAATATTTCACAAAATGGAATTGTTGTTTTCCAGCCAGCCCTATTAATATATACCTAGATTGGCTATAAAAGATGAAAATCATTGGTATGCGCTGGCTTCCTCACAATGTTCTGGTGTTGCAAAGCAGCCATAAACTTTTTAAATTATGTTTTTGAATGCTTTCCAGTTAATCTGGCCCTAGGTCTGAAATTTAAGCTGTGACATAGACAGCATGGTGCATTAATGATCTCTGCCTTGTGTTTTACATTTCCAAATAAGGGTGCAATGTTTCTGTAGATTTGTCAGGCTGTTACTAACTTTCAATTAATAGAATCTACTAGCTTCTATGATTTCAATAATTTGCATTGTTGCAAGTTGGATGTCTTCATTCACAGATGCGGTAAAATAATTGTACTTTAATATATGAAACCACCTTTATGAGTTAAAGAGACTGATTAATGAACCTAATTAAAAGCTCTGTGTTAATGGGAGCAGCTTCTTCCTTGTATTTATTGATGGTTTTTCCATTTGTCTAAGAAGCACAGACATTTGAAGGATTATTTTCCTGGAAGGGGAGGGATAGCTCAGTGGTTTGAGCATTGGCCTGTTAAACCCAGGATTGTGAGTTCAATCCTTGAGGGGGCCACTTGGGGATCTGGGACAAAAGTACTTTGTCCTGCTAGTGAAGGCAGGGGGCTGGACTCAATGACCTTGCAAGGTCACTTCCAGTTCTAGGAGATGGGATATCTCCATTAATTATTATTTATTTATTGATAGTATCTACCTTTCCTTTATTACATCACTTTAGCTCAGGGGTGAGCAAGATGTATCTATGCCACCTACAGTAAGCACTAGTTCTGGGAGGGATGCATATCTATCTGACGCAATGGTGCTATTTTTAGGAAGATGTGTCTGAGTTCTATACTCTAGGCTGCATTAGTGGGATATGTAAGGGCCAGCTTTTATATGGTAAGTGGCATGGCTTTCAGAGTGATATGACATATGTGAGTCAAAGATGGACATTCCAATTCTGTCACCATTCCTGCCACTTTTTGAAAAAAATGCCCCATGAGGCCACATTTAATTGAGGTATCGTTTTATATGTCTGTTTTAGAAAGAGGAACTCTACATCTTGAATTACATTCATACCATCGATCTTTGAATGCCCTCCCAAGCTTTCCTTATGCACAGACATGAGCTAGGTCTTCGTAGTTCGTTCTGTGAGCAGTGATATCTGGTGAGATGCTAATGCCTATAGTAACTTTGTCTTTATTGTGTTTATAGGAGAGGGATGAAATTTGTTCTTGTTTCACTCATCCACCAAGATCATCCTATCTCCCTGATTTTCCTTGTGTTGAGCTGGCAACAGACAATGCATGTGCTGAGGAAATGTCCAGGGGAAACCACACTACAGTGACTGAGTTCATCCTCTTTGGCCTCACCCATTGTCCGGAGGTGGAGGTGGTCCTGTTTGTTCTGTTTCTAGCCATCTATGTCACCACTTTGGTGGGGAACATTGGCATCATCATGCTAATTCATATCAATTCCTGTCTTCACACTCCCATGTACTTTTTTCTCAGCAACCTGGCCTTCCTAGACCTTAGCTACTCCTCCGCCATTGCTCCCAAGATGCTGGTGAACTTCCTAGCACAAAGCAAGACCATTTCCTTCGCTGGCTGTGCAATGCAAATGTATCTCTTTGCTGCTTTTGCAGATGCCGAGTGCCTCATATTGGCCGCAATGGCATATGACCGTTATGTGTCCATCTGTAACCCACTGCTCTATATGGCCATCATGTCCCGTAGGATCTGTGTTTCGCTAATAGCAGGGGCATATATCAGTGGCAGTGTGAGCTCACTGGTCCATACTTGTTTGACATTCAGTCTGTCATTCTGTGGCTCCAATGTCATCAATCATTTCTTCTGTGACATCCCCCCACTGATAGCGCTCTCCTGCTCTGACACCCACATCAATGAAATCCTCCTCTTTGCCTTGTGTGGCTTTATCCAGACCAGCACCTTTTTGGTCATCCTTATCTCCTACGCCTATGTTCTTGCCGCCATCCTGAGGATCCACTCCACCGAGGGCAGGCTCAAAGCCTTCAACACCTGCACCTCTCACCTGATGGCTGTTGCCTTATTCTACGGGACTCTTCTATTCATGTATTTACGGCCCAGCTCCAGTTACTCGTTGGATGCAGACAAAGTGGTTTCTGTGTTTTATACCGTGGTCTTTCCAATGCTGAATCCCCTGATCTACAGCCTGAGGAACAAGGAAGTGAAGGATGCCCTGATGAAAATTTTAGAAAGAAAACAGTTTTCCCAGTGACATGATTGGGAAGGAAAAGGGACAGTGGTGTCCCTGGTGCATCACACAGCAAAGTCACAAGGGGTTTTAAAGGTGAACCCGGTACGTCTACACTTACTGGAGGGTCCGGCGGCAGGCAATCGATGTTCTGGGATCGATCCCGGAAGTGCCCCGGATGTGCTCGCCGTCGACGCCGGTACTCCAGCTCGGCGAGAGGAGTACGCGGCATCGACGGGGGGAGCCTTCCTGCCGCGTCTGGACCCGCGGTAAGTTCGGACTAAGGTACTTCGAATTCTTTGCGTACCTTAGTCCGAAGTGGGGGGGGGGGTAGTTTAGACCAGGCAACATAGCTTGTCTGTGTATAGAAACTGCGATGACATATATTTAAATATGCAGGACTAATGGCTTATATGGGTTGGGAAGGACCCCAGTGGGATGGGCAGTCCCTTATATTGTGTCAGGATTAATTTAATTTCATTGATCCGCATACGAAGCATGAGCTCGCCTTGGTTCCCCTTTTTGATAGTGGTGTAATCAGTGTGTGAGACCAAAGGACCAGATCCAGTGCCCTTTGAAATCAATGGAAAGTCTCTCATTGATGGACATTGGCTCAGGCCTATAATCAGGGCCGACGAGAGGGAGGGAAGCCGGTACAAATTACCGGGGCCCAGCAGTCCAGAAGGGGGCAGGGGCCCGGCTTCTTCCCCCCCCCCCCGGTCGGCCCTGTTTAGCCGGTCTGCCCTTGCTGGGGGGCCCGAAAATTTTTTTCCACCGGGGCCCGAACCCGCTCTCAGCGGCCCTGCCTATAATGAAGGTCTCCATAAATTTCTTTGCTTATATGTACATATCTTTGGAATAAACTGGATGAAATTAGATGCCTGGTTATACAGGAGGTCACATTAGATGATTAAATGGCCCCTTCTGATCTTAAAAACATAATGGTCCTTTCTGATCTTAAAAAAATCTCAGATTCTATGAGTCTATTTATGTCTTCCCAATATGTCTGTATCTCTGACTTATAATCATACTTAACAATAACTCTGTTATCTCTGGTCAGAATATGACATATATTTCAGCAGATATTAACATATTCTATAGCAGTGTGGAAGTGGAGCCAATGAGCCAAAGCCTATGCTCAGTAGCACAGGTATAAATCTTGAATAACTTCATAGATTTCACTGGCTTTATGTTGCTATAACAGCCTGATCCAAAGGTGAACTCAATGACAGCTTTTCCACTGACTTTAATGGGCTATGGATCAAGGCACAGAGTTCACTACCTAACTCTTTCTTTTTGGGATGAATCACATCTCTATATATCCCTTCCCATCCTGAGCCAGGAATTGGGAGTCTTGCAAAGTTGCTCTGATACAATGCAAGGCTCTCTTTGGATTGGAGTGGCAGTCTCACTAGCTGCAAGAAAAGAGTTCCCAAATAGCGGCAGCAAAAGGGTTAAGGAGCATAAAGTTCTTATAACTCAGCCATTGGAATGCCTTTGGTGTGTTGTGTGTACATGTCCTTTCTAGTAGGTACCACACCTGACATTCATATCTTAGTGCATTTTTGCATGAAAAGGAGATAGAAGGGAGGGGAATTGAAGGATTCCATAGGCCAGATGCTTTGAAAACAATACAGTATCTGATTCAGAAGTGACAATTAAAAGGAGGGGAGCAAAGCTATCAAATAGAGCTATGGAAAAAAGTGAAAGCATTTGAAGAAAACCAGGGCCCAACTGTGCCAATTCTGCTCAGATTGAATAGACCTGAGTCCCATTGAAATCATTGGGATCACTCATAGAGTAAGGTGACATTCAACATGAATACAGACAGCAGAAAACAGTATCACTAGGAGCCAAGAGGAGGCAACAGCCATGTATTGAGTTGTGGTTTGATAAAGGATGTGAGAGAGGGAATGAAAAGCTCAGCAGGCATGGGGAAGAGGTAGAGGGGCTGCTGTAAAAAACAGGGTCTAGCAAGCCTACCACTCATCTGAGCGCAATTTGTTGGAAAGTGGGTAAAAGTTCATAAACTGTTATAGTAGCCTGCAACAATGAATGTAGATAGAAAGGTTATGAAGAGCAGACAGGCCAGATAGGTTTAAACTTCCTCCCTCCCTCTCTCACACATATCATTGGGGCCGACACACCAGCAATGACTCTCCAAAAGAAGCAGCAACTTAATTGGCATTGCCAGTGTCATGGCCCTGGAGAAGAGAAAGGGCAGGGAACTGCTCAGATGACCAGCTGTGGAAGGGCTCCATTGGCACTTGCGATAAGCCTGTCCCATGGTAAGGAAAGATCTGGAGGAGGCAGTTCCACCTCCCTCTGTATCCCGTGCCATCCTGGGCAGGAGGACACATATGCCTTGTGTAGTAGGAACTCCCCTTTGGCTTGCTGTGTCACTGCAGTGGTAACACCTGCCCTCTGCAGCAGACCATGCAGTCCTTTCTGAAACGGCTGTCCTATCCGCCAGTCAGAAGAGAGGAGGGAGCAGGGAGATAAGGAAGGGATTTCTTGCCAGCTGTCAAGCCAACCTGGGATTTTTGGAGGGATATGCAGAGAGGCCAGCTTCATCTGTCTGCCCATCCCCATACAATCAGGACCCCAGGGGTAGGGCCAGCATCCACAGAGCTGCAGCTGATCTGTGGAATTGTGGCTCCCCACCACCACTGGTGGAAGCACTCATGTGGGGGGTGCCCTCCCTGGGATTGGGCCCTCCAAGGAGAGAAAAGACCTCAGCAACATCAGCAAAAGTTTGGTGCTGAGGTGTGTGCACAGTGGGTTAGGTGCTTTTGAGTGAAGCCTGAGGTTGTAGATGAAGTTGGGTACAAATTTTCAACTGAACATATTTTTTGGCAATAAAATAAAATAAAATAAAATAAAATAAAATAAATGCAGATTTGGCAACACCAAAACATTTGCGAATTTGTGCTGATTTCACCTAATTTTTTTTTAGTCAAAATATAACCTAAAAAAAAACACTTTTTTTTGACATTTTAAAAATTAAACACTTTAATTTGTCAATTTGAAATGACTTTTCATTGGCTTCTAGTGTTATGGCTGGGTGACTTTGGGCAAGCGGTTTGTTTTGGGAGTAGTTGGGGTTTTTTTTTCTCCCTGTGCCTCAGTTTCCCCATCTGTAATATGGGGATAATGATACTGACCTTCTTTATAAAGCACTTTGAGATCTAGGGATGAGAAGTGCTATAAAAGGGCTGCAGATTATTATTAAACGAGGCTCTTGCTTATAAAATTTCCTGAGTTTTTAAACACATGACATGTAAGAGGACTCAAGGGGACATACAAGATGGACAGGGATCCCCCGCCATCAACTCATCCCATGGCACATTAGGATATGAAGGCAGCAGGATTGTTTGCAGTTTGATGTGGAGCCAGCATGACGCAGAGCAGGGTGGGAGGAAATGATAATTATGTGTATGGTGGGGCCGAGTGGGTCCATCTCTACCCTTCTTAACTACAACACAAGGTTCCTGTATGTCTGGCACAGGGGGGGCCTGTAAATGCTGGATCTACACCTTGCACTTTATTCTGTGGCTCGGAGGCCTTGAGTCTCCCTGATGCTCCCTGGCTGTGTGGCTGCTTGGCTTCTCCCTGGTTACAGCTCCCAAAGCCCTGTTACCAATGAGAGGTGGTAGAGCACCACCCATATCTCAAGTTTGTGGCCACAAAAGACTTGAGGGATATATGCTTTAGGTAATATCACCATGGTTACAACCGTCCCAGCTGGGTCTCTGCGAAAAGAGTCCTCTAGCTCACTACACAATAGAAATAATGGTTCTGGATAGAAGCATCTTTTCTTTTTCTCGTGGCACAATTCATCTGAGTGCAATTATTCTGCAGCCAAAACAAAGATCTAGGATGGGAGTCTTAATTGCTTAGTTTGAGGAAGTTTGGGAGTAGGAGGGATGTTTGGAGATTTCAAGTGACTTGCCTTGAAAGACAAATATAAGCCATATATATACAAGCACATTTTTATCTTATCATTTCTTTAATGTGGATCCTCTGGAGTCATTCAGTAAGTTGATCCCTTTTTCCTGCAGGTAGGGTTCATAGCACTATATATGGACTAGAGACAGCCAGAGAATGTTTTGTGACAATCTTCAAGGTTTCAAAATTTCTCTTCGTTCCATATTGGAATGAAATTACAACGTTTCAAAAGGCTTCACAAAATGGAATTGTATCAAAATGTCCGTTTGATGATCAAAAAGGTCAGGTTTTCAATTCTCCTTTCTCTTTCCTTCTCTCTCTCTGGAATTGATCAGAAAGTGCACCTTAAGCCTCAGAAAACTTCTAACTGAAAACTCCACCAAAATCAACACATCTCCATGAAACATTTTTGTGTCAATGACATTCTCTGGTGAACAAAAATATTTAGGTGAAAAACAGTCTTACTAGCTCTAGTATGGACCAAATTGGGATATATAATGAGATAAATGACTATTTTCCTCAGGTGGAAATATTTAGGGCCAGATTCTTAGCTGATGTTTTCCAGTGGTGCAATGCCGATCACTGGCCTGAAGTATCTTAATTTTATATTTTATTTTAGTTTGGAAGAAAGAATGTGAAAAGTAATTATTGTCAATGTGATCTGAAAAGTTTGAAGTAAGTAGTGATACATGTTAGGAAAAACATTTCATTTTAAATGATCATGTAAAACTAGTTAAATGGGAGAAATATTTTTACAGCATAATGTATCCATGGATCTGTGAGTGCTCCAGGCCATAAATTATCAAAACATAATGTGTATACGTCTAACCTACCTAATCTTCCACCTGTAATATTTAGCCTCAGAAAATGAAAATGAAAACGACTGTCTCATTGTTGCCTTGTTCTCCTCCAGTTCTCTGTATCCACTTGCTATCTCTTTTCTTGTATTATTTGATAAGCATTTTGTTCTGTGTTTGTACAGTGCCTGCCACAATTGGGGCCTAATCCATGATTGGGATCTTGATGCTAGAATAATACAATAAATAAATAATAATAATAATGGATTACACAGTGGC